CAACTGACCACTCAGTGTCACCTAAAGCTTTCGGTGATAGATTGTAGCGATTTTCTGGATATTCAACAACTATCATCTTGGATATCCACTGACAATCATCAGGCAGTCTCAGTCGTTGGTTGGGTAGGGTGGACGAACCCAGTGTATGCTCAGCATTAAGTCTGTTTCCCACGCGAATCGAAACCGTCGGTTCGCTTCCTGAGCTCTGGCTGGGTGCGCATTTGTTTTGCTTCACACGCAAAATGTAGAGACAGTTCGAAATACTTATTTTGCTGAAGCGAAAAACGCCAATAGAAATGTGACTGCCATGCGCATGAACCTACGCTTTTGATTTGCGCGAATAAATTCACCTAGTAGAAACAAGAAAACAGTCTTTAGGCTTACAAGTACTTACACGAAGCACAACGGGAGCCGACGTGAGTTGAAGGACAGGTACAGGTGAATCCGTCTTCGGAAAGTGTACAAGTACCGGCATTCAGACACGGTGATAAACTGCATAAGTTAACTGTTATTTCAAAAATAAGTTCAATAATAACAATACTTAATATTTACTAATATAAAAAGTATGAAATGTTGTAAATTTCTTGCTAACACCTTACGGGAGATAACTGGACCGGTTTACCTGGTAGCTCAGACCCTTGGAGGAAAAGCAAGTTAATGTCGAGGTAGGCCACAGCTCGAGCGCTTTGAGACTTCGAACTTCGGTATAAAGCGCTATATAATTCTAACTTCATCACATAGTCAGAATCATTTTTTTTTTCAAGAGATAAACATGAATTCATAAATTCATTGCGAACGCACTCAAGGTAGGGACACATATTTGGGTCCGCGCAAAGCGCTGACCCCACAGCCTCACTGCTGTTCTTGTTCTTGTTACCAGAACTTTAAAAGCGTCCAGCGTCGCCAGTTTTGAACGGACGTGCAGGTAAATTTGTACACATAAACTAAAGGTGATTTCCAATAAACGTTCATCGCCCTTTTTTTAAGTTGGACCCCAGTGTTCACCCTACACCTACAAAACAGAACATGGGTTCAAGCAAGGACTGTATGTTAACTGCCATTACTTCTACTACGGCACGTTGCATGAATGCGCAGTCGGTTAAGAATGTGTTCAAAAGGACTTAGTTGTGAGTTCAAATCGCGTCTCGGTATTCATTTTTTCCCCAATTTTAAGATTTTTTTTTTCAAATATTTTAATTTTGTACAAAAAAACATTCTAATTATTTAAAAATGTCTATCTTATTAGCTCTTCCAAAAAGCCCAATATAATAATTTGCACCCGTACAGAATTTAAGCGTGGAGGAACGCGCGAATCGGTGAGCGGTAGCTCTTGTTTTAAGGGGTTTGGCCCCTCCCAATTTTCGACTGCAATGCAATTTCATAAATCAAAAAGATGCCTGAAAATTGTTAAAAATGAAATACATAAATGACTCAGGCTTTATGTACAGCCTGACACGATGATGAATTTTACCGTAAGAGTGTCATTTCAGCCATCTAGAATGACTATTTCCCCAAATGTTTGCACCTCAGCCCCAACCATGGTCGGCCTGAGGTGGGTGTAGACTCAAAACTGACCTCCACCCACCACCCACACCTTTCAAAACAGAACTGCGCCCCTGTCGAGGCCTAATTGAAATATTATACATTAAAAACAAATTATTACCCAATAGTAAAAGGTTAACAAACAAAATACATGTCATGTGGTTAGCTAAACATAGGTCATGCCAAACACGTAAAAACCGTCATTACATAATATAGTCATATCAAACTTTAGATATTTTCATATACGAATTCCAACGTCATTGTGCGTCCAGTGGTGTTCCGAAATTTCGCAACCCATTTAACATTTCGACCTGGTTAGGATTGTAAAATTCTTGTTTTGCCATGTCCCTACAGATTACAGTACCTCTTTTCAATATTCTCAAAACAGTTACAGTTGTCAATAAGCACAATCTACAATCTACAATTAACCAGGTATAACAATCATTGGAACGCGACGCATTGCAGCCTCAAGCTGTACTATGATACTGTAGGTATTTTTGTATTGTATCGTAGTTATACGGTTGTCAGATTCACTTTATAATCATTTGATTGTTTACCTGTGCCCCGCGGAGTCTTTTTGAAGTTTTAAATCACTGAAACTTCCTCAACCATACACATTAGGTTAACCATGACAATTAGTAGATTATTATAACTGTTATTGATATAATTTGAACATGTAAATTGAGTCCAAGTTATGTATATTGAATTATATTGTGCTGCTCAAAAGGAAGTTTATAGTCAGAGATTATAGTACTGTACAATCGGTATGTTTTGTTAACAGCTATACACGAATAGATAGATAGACCGATTGCCTTAGGCTCTATCAACGCTAAGACATTTTCTTTGAAAAAAAAATGGTGTATGCTCGCCCATACATAGGCCCTAATCATGATGTGCCTATATATGGTCACAATGTGATGTCATCATTATCATAATATTTAGGCATGTGACATGTTTTTGTCAAACAACATAATGTGATAGTCTGCACATGGATTTAGACTATTTCCCACCTGCAATGAAACGACGCGGTAAACGTTGGAACTTAAATTGAGAATTGATTTTTGCATCTTAACACGTAATAAAAATAAGAATCATATGATGCAGCGCATTGAATCATTATTAACTGCAATGCATTCCTTCTGTTAATAATCTAATACAGTATTCCACTTAAGATTTAAGGGAAATAATGATTTCCAGAATTCATCTTAATTAACTTACTAGTTTGACAAATGTCACCCGTGTAATTAGGTGGACATTCACAGTCACCAGATGAAAGGCACGTCCCTCCATTCAAGCATAGAGTGTTAAAGCAACCTGGTAAAATGACATAGAAACGAGAATCAGGAAATGATAACCAAACAAAAATGACCCAATATTAAAGGGCCGTTTACATACAACATAAAATGCATTAAATGCAATATCAGTAAATAATCTTTTATTCAATTTCTTGACAGTAACTCATCGAACTTTCTTAATAATACATAACCTAACAAAGAATCTCTGTTTAGGGCAATCTCTTTTAACTTTTTTTTTGGTGAGTCGAATGGCCGAGCGGTTAGCAGGGGCGCCGCAAGCTATAGCCACAATATCGACGCTCGCCTAATGGTTCTGGTGGTAGAACAAGTCTTCTCAGATAAGGACTATAAACCGTAGGCTCAGTGTATACAATGCCATGGCTCGTGTGCACTATGAGAACCAGTACACCCTTCGAGACGAGGATGGGGATACCTCTGT